TTTACCTTGGCTGGTCTGATTACTTTCCAATAAACAGTTGCCTCTTCTACCGGACATACCTTCATGGGGACCAGGGCTGGGCCTGGTTTTGCCCATCACTATATGCCTAGCGTGGGCACAGTGCCTGCTCACTAAGATTGGGTGAGGGAATAAGGGATGAATGAAGGAGGTCAGACAGAAGGGTCCTAACATTGGCAGACCAGACCTGTGGAGTGAAGGTGGTTGCCACATGCATTGCTAATTTGTTCATTGCCCCCCCCCCCCCCCCCCATAAATATTCCCTGTGGAGAAGACAGAGATGAATTGACTGAGGTTCCCCTTCTCTCCCCCCTACTCCCCTCACCCACCTACGGTAGCTGATAGTGCAGAGTGAAAGGGAAAGGTCCAGGGAGAAAGTGGTCTGAGGGGAAGGCAGTTGGAACATGAAGGAAGGCGTCCTGGAGGAGGCGGCCTGTGTGTTGCAGGCTGTGTCTGTGCACGGCAGTGAGGACTGGCTTACCTCTTCTGTGGGCATGGAGATCACCGGTGGCTGCCAGGCTGACTCCACGCATCACCTTCAGATGCCCACAGGTGGAAAACTCATGTTGCCAGCCCCGAGCTTTTCTGACAAGGAGACTTGGGAGTAGGAATTAGAAAGGATGGCTTGATCCAAAGTAACTAGTGATTCAGGCCCAGGGACTGAGAAATGTGAAGGGGGATTATCTCCTAGCCCTTTCCGTGGCTCCCGCTGTTCTCCCATCAAGGCCTCGGATCCTCTGTGGGGGACGGCTTCCATGGCTGCCTGGCCAGGGCCTCCTGGGGTCTCTTCCCCTCACTCCCTCTTTTCCTCTTATCTCCTCTCGTCTCCAGGCCTTTATACAGCTGTCTCCCTGCCTGGCACTCTCCCCACCCCTGCCCTCTTTGCCCTATTGACCCCTCATCCTCCTCTCTCAGTTCAAGCATGACGCCCTGTTGGAAGACTTCCCTGCCTGCTCCCCCATTGTAGACAATCCTAAGTAAATATCTCCAGAGACCTTTTCTTTTCTCTTCTCTTCTTTTCTTTCTTTTTCTTTTCTTTTCTCTTCTTTTCTTTTTAAAATATATTTCTTTATTGATTTCAGAGAGGAAGGGAGAGATAGAAACATCAATGATGAGGGAATAATTGATCGGCTGCCTCCTGCACGCCCCCTACTGGGGATCGAGCCCACAACCCGGGCATGTTGCCTTGGCCGGAATCGAACCTGAGATCCTCCAGTCTACAGGCCGACACTCTATTCACTAAGCCAAACCAGCTATGGCCAGAGATCTTTTGTACTTAGCAGTAGTCACAGTTGTAGTCATAAATCTGTTTGTGTGAGGACTTGACCGAAGTGGGCTGCCTTTTGTAGACTGGAAAGAGGGCCTCTCTTGGTCATCACTGTACCCTCTGTTTCTGTTTTTAATCTCGCCTGGTACAGAGTAAACAGTTTATCAATATTTGTTAAATGGATGAATAAGTGCTTCTATGTTTAGGACCTAATGTCTGAAGTATTCTTCAGGAAATGACAGACTTTAGGCATCTGTGCAGAATGACCGGGTAGGTGGCATCCACCTTCTCATAGAGAAAGCAAAGCGGGGGTTGGGGGTGGAGTTGCTGGCTGGACGAGAGCAGCCAGAGCCATCACAGTCAGGGTGAGTGCCTGGAGAGGAGCTGGCCCTTCCCAGCCGCAGTCCTCCCCCTGGGGCGCCAAGACAGCCTAGACACTCTCCCAGCTCTGGTGGCTGACGTCCAGAAAGCCAGAGCAGGACACAGCAAGTCTTCTTCCTGGAAGGTTCGGGGCCGGTCCCAGTGAGGCTGCCTCTTCTTGGAGTGTGTGCGGCGTCCTGGGGGAACGGGCCCCCAGGACCCCCAGGGCATGCCCTTGAGTTGGCCTATGCTGAGTCTTTAATCTGTGTTGGGCTCTACTTGGTGACCAGACAGTGACCTTGCACACAGGAACCCTCAGCTGAGCCACCCTTTCTGAGCCTCCTCAGTGGAGGTAAAGCTCCACCTTTCCTAGACTCTGAGTTTTGAAAGAACCAGGCTGTGGACACAGGGGTCTAGCTTGCAGACATCTGTGGGAGGATGGCCTGGTGGACAGGGAGAGCCTCCTGGAGGGGCAGAGTTGGGGCACGTCTGATGGGAAGAGAAGAGGTGGGCACTGCCCAGCTGGGGCAGGGGAGGCCTTGGTGGGAGTTGGCTGAAGGGAAGGAGCCTTCATCAGGAGTTTTAGCCCTGGCTGGCAGGTCGGGAATGGAGAGAGGGGAGTGTAAGGGAAGCTGGTGGACAGAGAGACGTCTTGCGAGTAAATGTGGCCTCTATGACATGGAGAAATTTGGTGGGAACACTGTTGGACTAAGGCGAAAGTCAAGCTTTGGCAGGGGTGGCTGGGGCCAGGATGACTGGCCAGAGCAATAGCTTAGGAGGAGCATGTGGAGTCTTCTTCCATTGCGCGCGCATGTGTGTGTGTGTGTGTGTGTGTGTGTGTGTATGAGTGTGTGTGTGTGTGTGTGTGTGTGTATGAGTGTGTGTGTGTGTGTGTGTGTATGAGTGTGTGTGTGTGTGTATGAGTGTTTGCATATGAGTGTTTGTGTGTGTGTGCATGAGTGTGTCTACATGTGTACACTTGCACAGCACCTTTGACAATAGGGTCATTTGGTGGATGCCAACTAATAGGAGGACATGCTGGGCAGACACAGACTGGGCCATGAGCTCCCATATCCTGCTAGTCTCGGTGCTCATGGGGATGGGCCATTATAGAAGAAGGGGTGTCATGATATTGACGAGGATGATGTCCTGTGGGCGGGGCAGGGACCCAGCCTATGGTTTCCTCCTTGGTCATAGTTAATCTGGGGTCCATTTTCTCAGGGTGCTCATGAGCTACCTGTGAAGGCTCTTCTTGGGGTGCTCTGAGCTGCCAGCCTATCCAGGGACTCTGAAAGGCCAACACTCATGTGAACCCCAAAGCTGGTGTCTTTGTTCAAATGTCAGACCCTACATTGTACTTGTCCCCACATAGGAAAGCTGGGGGAAATGCCAACTTTGGGCAGCATCTCAGTGACACAGTATCCCTTGGTTTGGCCTCATTCCTCATGTGGGTGGGTTTTGACAAGATGAATGAAGTCTAGGTCAGCAGTGTGCTGGCAGGGAGCGGCGAGGGGGTGGCAGGGCGAACGAGGCCGTGTGTAAGAAGGGCACCAGTCAGGGAGAGCTCTGACGCATGCCGCCTCCCCCAGGGGCAGAGGCAGAGGCAGAGGCTGTTCCTCTGGGCCTGGCTCCCACAGCGTCTCCACTCAGCCCAGCATGAGCAACCTGGTCTGAGAGGCTCCAGGGAATGATGGGCCTGAGGCCATTTCCTCCTGGAAACAGTGGCTTCCTTATTTTCTCTCATTTTGAACAGTTCAAGTCCCAGGCTCACAAAAGATATTCCATCCCATTTCCTTTTTTTTTTTTTTTTTTTGATAATTCATAATATTTTCATTGATATGTAGGCATCATCACCAGAGACTATTACAGTATGAAGAGCTAACAGCAATAAAGAACACGCAGAGAATTTAATCCTGTACTTTCTTCTTAATTTGCATTTTTGAATAGACAATGCATTTAAAATTCTGCAACAAAACAAAATAAAACAAACCAAACATGCTATGAAAAACTCACCCTCCCCTTTGTTCACCCCCACTTAGTTTCTCCTTCTGAGTGGGTAACCACTCTGAATGTTTCTCCTGTTTCCTTCCAGAGTTCCTTTGTGTGTGTGTATTTTATATGCATTTTAATATGTAAATGTATTATATAGACTATATTGTATATGTATATTAATATATGTACATTATATATGTTTATAATCCATTATATAAAATGCATATAAAATCTTGTTTTCTCCAATTTTACTCAATAGGTTGTAATTCTACATGCTGTGCTTTTCTGTGCTTATTTATTTTTCATATAATAATGTATCTTGAAAAAAAAATAAAAAATATATTTTATTGATTTTTTTACAGAGAGGAAGGGACAGGGATAGAGAGTTAGAAACATTGATGAGAGAGAACCATTGATCAGCTGCCTCCTGCACACTCCCTACTGGGTATGTGCCCGCAACCAAGGTACATGCCCTTGACCAGAATTGAATCTGGGACCCTTGAGTCCACAGGCTGACACTCTATCCACCGAGCCAAACCGGTTTGGGCTGAAGTTCTTTCCATATCAACTCACAAAGGAAATCCTCTTTCCTCTTTGTAGCCACATGGTATCCAATGGTGTGGCCACACCATGACTTACTTAACCAGCCCCTACAACGTAAACCTTTGGGTTGTTTCCAGTCGTTTGCTATTAGAATCTGAACTTATGTCTCTTCCCATATGTGTAAGTCTAACTATAAGATAAGTTCCCAGAGGTGCCGATGCTCTGTCAAAGGGAATGTGCACTTGTGGTCTCGAGAGGTTTTTGTCAGATTGTCTGTCCTAGGTGTGTGGCCAATAAGCTTCCACCAGAATGTATGAGAGCATCTGTTTCCCTAACAGCCTTTCTAACAGTGTTTTATCGACTGGCCACATGATGTAGTGGCAAATGATCCAGGAAGGGGCTGTGAACTCTGGGACAAAACGGTACCTCCCGGGAGAATGTCAGTGCCAGAGAGACAGTGGCACCTGCTGATTAAGCCTCTGGTCAACCTGAGATCCAGTCCCCAGGCAAATCACTCGATCTCTCTAGACCTCAATTTTCTCAACTGAAAAATGGGAAAATAAATAATATTGACTTCCTGGGGTCCTAGTGAGGATTAGATGGGTTGATGCACGTAAAAAGGGCTCTGCACAGTGCCTGGCCCGCGGCTGTGAAAGGCTGGCGGTGACTAACCAGCTGGTTGACTCTGGCCAGGACCCCTTTGTCTGCTTCTGAGCTCACGGGTCTCTCAGGGCCTCTTCCCGTTCTCAGGGTCTGCCACGTCTTTCTTCTGCAACGTGTGCAAGCCGCACTCATCCTTCCTCTCTCATGCCCACCAAAGGTATTCAGGAGTCTCCGGTGCCCAACGGCCACTCGCTGCCGGGCAGAGACTTCCTCCGGAAGCAGATGCGGGGAGACCTGTTCACGCAGCAGCAGCTGGAGGTGCTGGATCGCGTGTTCGAGAGGCAGCACTACTCGGACATCTTCACCACCACGGAGCCCATCAAGCCCGAGCAGGTACGCTCCGCGACTCACCGCCCGCCACGCCTCTGCCCCAACGCGGGCCTGCCTGGGTGTCCTCCCCAGGCGCCTGGCTGCGTGTGGGTGGGAACGTCAAGTTCTACGCAGAGGCGGCTTCTCCTTGTTCTCGGCCAAACTTGGCTGGTCACAGCATCCCACGCATGAGGTCAGGAGGACGTGTTCGAGGCTCTGGCAACTTCTTGCCCTGGTGCCTTTGTCTTTCCTGCCAGCTAGGAGGGGATGTGGCTTGTCCAGCTGCTCTGCCATTGCTGAATGGCGGCCTTTCCCAGGGGGTGTGATGATCTTTAGGGCCACCTGAGGTGGTCTCGGGTCATTATCCTGTCAGGCTAAGCATTTTACGGCCACATATGGTGGTCCTGGTGGGTGCCCGCTGTCAGCCCTGCCATGCTTTTAGAGGCTGGATCCAAGAGTCTGGAAATGAAGAAGTGTCTCCCTGGACAATGACCCAGCTGAGTCATTTGCAAGAGAGGGGAGGAAGCAGGAGGAGGCCCCTTGCTGAGCAGCCCCCTGCTCTGCCCTGGAGGGCAGCAGTCTCTGTTTAAGGTCACAGAGATGGGGCCAGAAAGGGTCTGCCCAGTGAGAGGCTCTTGGGTCTGGATAAGGTCCAGATTCAATTCAGGAGACTAGTTCCTGATACCCAGGCTATGCCAGGCCCTGGGCTGGTTTCCTTGCTGACACACGCCATTCAGACATGACCCCGGCTGGCCGAGAGCTCCCACATGGTGGGCCAGTCAGAGAGATCTCTGAGCAATGGCATTCTCCGAACTTTTCCATCTGGTACTGGTGGTAAGGATGGCCGTGCTGAGCTTCCTCTACCTGCTGATTAGATGATGCTTCTGAAATTTTCTGAAGGAGCCAATCAAAGTCACATAGGCTGTGTGCACGAACTCTGTCCGTGGTGCTGAGAAGACCTTGGTGATGAGGAGTGTGCAAGGCCTCAGGGCCACCATCCTATGACAGCCTGAACACCTCTCAGCATTTCCTCTGAGGGCTCAGGGCTCTCACAGACCATCTATAAACTTTGTTTTCAGATGGGGAAGCCAAAGCCCAGAGAGGCAAAGAGACTTGCCTAAGACCACACAGCAAGTGGTATATTCACTTCCCAAACATTGTAGTGTCTACCATGTGCATGGCACAACACCAAATGCTAGCAGTACATTCATGAACAAGACAGGCGTGGGCCTGCCCTCAGGGAGTCTGCAGATGTGTGGAAGGCTCCCAATAAGAATAACCCAAGGAGTTGTGGATTATAGATGTGCTAGGTGCCGAGGAGGAGATGTCTGAGGTTTTTCAAAAGCATAAAGCAGAGGCTGAGCCGGCCTGAAGGGGAAATTTGCACTTATGCTGAGCCCTGAAGGGGTTGGGCTGAATCAGGAGAAGGGACCTGGATGTGGGAGATTGTGTCTGGCAGAAGGAAGAGCACGTGCCAAGGTCCTGGGGTAAGAGAGAGGGGGAAGGAGTAAAGAACAGAGAGAAATCAAGAGGCTGTGCTTTTGGCGCTGGGCTGCCCAGAGGGGTGGGAGGTGGTGTTGGAGAGATGGGTCTAGTCAGGGAGGCTGTGGTCAGGGTTTTGGTCTTTCTCCTACAGGTGGAGTGAAGTCTCCCCCTTCCCCTCTGGGAAGGACCGTTGTGTGGGCTGGACGGACCCGAGCCCCACACTCTAGCTGCTGGGTTGTAGGGAAAAGAGTCTGTTTCCATCACAAACAGCCTCTCCCACTTCCCAGAGCCCCCCTGAAATATGGCGGCCAAAGCCGCATCTCATCTGACCTAGGAGGAGAAAGAAGAGGAATTTAGTCAGGAAAATTTCTTTAGATGAAGCCTACCTTTCCCTCCAGAATCTGGGAGGAAACTTACCTTCCAACCATTGATAAGGGCACATAGTTTTAGCGCCTGCAAGCTTTCACCCTCCACTTAAGAGGTGCAGGGCGGGCACAGGGTTTGTGTGAGGCCATCCAGCCAGTGAGTGGTGAGGAGCCAGGGCCCAGGTGCAAAGCCTCTAGGTGCCCGCACCAGCCATCGTGTGGCCCTTATTTTCTCAGGGAAGACATTCAGTCTCAGCCACTGCTTCTCTCTGTGTTTCCCATGATCCTCATGGACACTCAGAGTGGGAGTCGTAGTTCATTTGGTTTAGAATGCCCGGAAAGACTGGGCAGAGACGACAGGGCTTCACAATTGGGAGTAGTTCGCCCATGTATCCATTCATTCACTCCCTTACTCAGGCACTCGTGTGTTCATTTCACCAACAAAGCTTTTGCAGGCTGGGCTGTGAGCCTGGCACGGTGTCAGCACCCAAGGGAGGGAGGATGAAGCAGGTGCCAGCTCCCTGGGGCCATAGGATGGATCCAAACTCTGCAAGGCAAGGGAGAAGGTTCTATAGCCCTGGACGGATGAACGGAGACCCAGGGGGATGTGACGGAGGAGGTGTTGGGGGACAGGTGTCTGGGCCCGGGCAGAGATGGGGCCCGTGGGAAAGGAGACCTGAATGACAAACACTGTGAGAGCTGTTTCTGGCGGCCTGGCTGTGTGGTGTCCTTCAGACGGCGGATACGGCGGCAGGCCTGTCTCTGGGCGGGCTGAGGCGGGGCCTGCAGGTGAACCCTGGGGTGGGATAATGACTGACTCAGGGCTTTCTGGCTAATCTGCTTCACCTCCCGGTAATGGGCGGTAATGAGGAGAGATGGAAGGTGAGGCGGCGGGGCCGCCGGGCACACACACAGGCACTGGACTATGAATGACATACCCTCGCTCCCGAGTCCCAATCACTTTGGACAAATGATGGTCTGAGCGAGGGGCTGCAGGCTGGGAAGGCCGGCATGTCAAGGGTACAGGTTCCTTGAGCCCCCTCCTGCCTGCTTTTGCCTTGCCTTGTGAGCCCCTGAGCAGGCGAGGAAGGGGGCCTGGGCTCTGGCCGCTGAAGCTGGCCCCTTCAATAGTGAGCGGAACTGTGGCGCCCAGGCCGAGTGGTCTAGGTGCGGGCCGTGGGGTCAGCTTCACCCACTGAGCGACCTGGTGGGGAAGAAAGAGCATTTGCCAGCCTTGGGGTTGGAGGTTGACTGGAGTCCTGGCTCTGGCCTAGCAGGCAGGTCGTTTTTCCTCTGGAATTCAGCAGCAGTAATTGTGATTTTGGTAACAAGAGCAGCGGCAGCGGCGGCAATAACAATAACACCAGCGATCATCCTCACAGAGGCATGATACTGTGCAGTTTTTTTTAAAAAAATATATATTTTATTGATTTTTTACAGAGAGGAAGGGAGCAGGATAGAGAGTCAGAAACATTGATGGGAGGGAAACATTGACCAGCTGCCTCCTGCACACCCTCCACCGGGGATATGCCCGCAACCAATGCACATGCCCTACTGGGTCAAACCCGGAACCCCTCAGTCCGCAGGCCGACGCTCTATCCACTGAGCCAAACCGGTCTCGGTGACACTGTGCAGTTTTCAAAGACCTTTCACGTCCCTTCTCTCGCTGGACTCTCAATGGAAGTGTCCGATAAGCAGGCTGGGCAAGATTGGTGAGCCCCGTTTTACAGGAGGCTTCTGGGACTTGTTGAGGCCACAGAGCTAGAATGTGACCTCAGGATCTTCAGTTTTCATCCTGTGTAAGGCATCTTGCCTTCTGTCTTCACGTTCCCCAAAGGTTTTAGAAGCCAGTTTTCTAATTGGCTGGTTTTCAGCATTGGCCTTTTGCACTGTTATTCCAGAACCTTCAGAGACTTGCCATAGGCTTGGGTGGTCAAATCCTCTTAGTCACCCACCCAAATGCCCAGGTTGGGGTCTCGCCAGTCACTTCCATGAGCTCAGAGCCCACCCTCATATTGCTGCTTTTCCCGCCAAGATCTCTCCCGGCTGGGTGGGCCCAGGCTTCTCACTTTTACAGGGGAACTTAGTAAACCCTTGGCCCCGGCTGGAAGGGGTTAACGCATACACACTCCTGGGGCAACGAAACACTTCCTTTTCAAAATGGTTATTGAAAAAGCAATTCTGTTCTCCTTACATGGGGAGTTGAGTAAAAACCACTTTGGAGGAGAAGAGAGGGGGAAAGTAACAACTCCTGGTAGCGTCATGCCTGTGCGTGCCTGTTTCTGTGTCGCACAGTGAGATCTGTTTCAGGAAAACTCGAGTTGAGGCTGCCGTGGACGCTGCGCTCCTGGAGGGAGCCGGTCCCTCCTCCGGCCTCGCAGGAAAGCTGCCACCGAGCGCAGCCTGCCGTATTTACTCTCGGCAGACTATTAACCAACACCAGGCTATTAATCTGGCTTTTGAGCCTTCACTAAAGCCCATAAAAGCTCACAGTTGTCAAATGGAGTTCATTTTAATTTCCTTTCAATCACAGTAAATTATTCAGGTGATAAATCAGCTGGAGCAGCCTCCTGGCTGTAATAGAAACCCTAATTCCTGGCTAATTATCCAGCCCATTGCTGCCAACAGATCAATACGGGCACAAAATGGAACGGGGCCCAGGGCCCTTCCCTCCCATTGGGCCAGAGACAGAAAGACAGCTGGGGAAGCGGGGACGTGATGCTGACCTCCCGGGAAGTTCAAAGGTCACAAGGGGTTAAATCGGGAGATGGCCTGTCCCTTGTCTGGCAGAGAAAGCCACCAGAATTGCCTCCTGTTCGCACATGCTGCTTTGCCCTCTGAACAGTGGGGTCTCCCTGGGCTGGGAGGCTTGGGCGAGCACTGCCGGCTCTCGTGGGCTTCCTGCTCCCAGGAAAGGGCTAGGTTGTACTTTTGAACATGATGATGAGTTTGGTCCTTGGGGATGGCCTTGAGCACCTACCTACCCGGGTCAGAAAAAGCGCTGGAACTGTGGGTGAAAAGATGAGGTGCCAGGCATGGTTTCTTTCTTTAAGGAGCTCATGCTCCTGTGTCCTGGGTCTGTGCCCACCAGGAGAGTTGGAGGGAGATGTGAGGAGACAGGCATGCAGGCTGAGAACCGGAAGGCTCCCTAGAGGAGGTGTCATTAGTGCTGTG